TACTAGGTCCCTTCCGACCCTTAATCTATGAAACTATGACAATCACACACACATACACACACTAACACACTTCAACCTTCTCTGTATCTTGCATTATTATATTCCTTTCCTCATTCAGTAAATTTCCGTTGCTCTCTCTCTCATTTCTACTGTATTTATAGGATGCTGTTTTCTCCCTTTTGTTTCCTGCTAGTTGAATCTCAAGTTATAGCTTGACCTTTCTGATTTTGTCTCTATGTGTCCATAATGTAGTAATCTTATATTCATCCCTACCAATATGGCCGAGTTACCAGTCCCTTGTAACAAGTCTGTATCAGACCCCATATTCAGACAGAATATGCTCTTGTGGAAAGAAAACAGATTAATTAAATCATTATTTGTGGTCTTGTTTGTTCTTTGAAGAAATAAGAAGGAAATAGATCTTTCCATTAATGGGAAACTTTAAATACTGGGTTAACGAAGAAAAATCAATCTGGCTTCTCTCTAACACTTTGGAGCCTGTCCTATACTTCTTGGGTGTATTTACATCATTTGCACAAAAAAAGATGCTGTTCTGTTTTACCTCACTGCTTCATTTGATCTTTTCTATCATCATATACTATGTTCTGGTTTTTTAATTTTGTGTAAACTAATAGAATGGATAATTTTACTGCATATTTTCAGTAAAAACTTTAAGTTCTAGAAACGTTCTTTAATTGTAAATAATTTTGTTTACTGTATTATTTTGGTAAATGCTGTAAATAAACTACTGCTACTATTACTACAAGTTAGTCCCTCATTACGCTTGTTATCCTTACTTCACATTGGGATAACATACTCTTGTACCTTTAATATTGTATCTTTAAGAAATAACCACCTCTCCTGGACTCCTTTTTCCCCTACATCTGCTTCACTATGGGATTATGCTTACCACTTCTCTGAGTCTTTTAAGTCTGGTTTTCAGAAGTCCAACATGTTTATTCTACTGCTTTCCTTCCTTTTTTCCTTACGATCACTCACTCTATCATTTCATGACCTCTGGTCACCCAAGTTGCCTTCTACCTTCAGATTCTCAGCCAAATCGTACACACTAGTAAGCAACACATAGGGTGCATCTACATAAGATGTTTAGTGTGGACCTGCCTAATTAGCTCTGCTATAAAGTCCCAACATCTACATGTGGAGCCCTATTAGGTCACAGGAAACTAATTATCTCCACTGCAGCCTTAAGGCAGTGGAAGAGTGTAGGCAGCTTCAGGCTGCCTGCACTCTGCTGCCATAAAGCAAATATATATCCATCACAGTGAAGTGACACAATTTAGTACTACCTTTTGTTGCAGACACATTGTGGCAGAACTAGAGATGTGGATGTGTACTTGCTGTCATTTTGCGCTTCTATAAAAATGTTTATGGCAGCACAAAGGTGATGAAATAAATCTGTTTCTCCCCTTAAAGATGTTACAGCTTCAGTTGTGTTCTGGCACGTTAAACCCTTGCTTTTGGCACAGGTTACCTTAAAAAATCATAAAGGCATTTAAAATAAGAGCAGTCATTAATTAAGAGGTGTTTAATCATTAATTAGAGGGTATAACTGCCATAAGTACCTTCTAAAAGTTTCAAAGGTATGCCACTACAGCTGAGGTTTATTTTTGATTTGTTTTGCTCAGGTCATTCCAGGGTATTTTTTTGATGCTCTGGGGAAATAAAATACACGTCCATACCTTTTGTTGTGCCACAATGTCTCTGCAACAAAAAGTAGTACTAAATTGTGTCACTTCACTATGATGGACGTATAGGGGGCTCAGAGGCCCCAAGCCCAGCTTCCTTCCTATCGTGTGATCCTGTCTCCTGCTGCCAGGGCCCAGATGCTGTTAATTCTGCCTTTAGCAGCCTGTTCTTTTCTAGCTCCTGGCTCAATTCACCCGGGTACCTTCTATCTGCTGCCACTTTACCCTCAGGCTCCCTGAAACCTGCCTCTGGCTACTCCCCGCACCTTCCCTGTAACAGGGGCAGGGGTTCCCAGTTAAAGGAAAAATTACTTCAGAAACAAATCAACTTCTAAATTGAAATTAATTTACTACATTTACTCAAATATAAGATGGCCCTGATTATAAGAAGAACTGCCAAGAACTGGATTCTATATATGGAAAATGTATACATTTGATATAATTTTCTAGGTATACAATCTAACTATTGGAGGTTTGTCTTGAATTTGTCCCACTCCCATTAACACAGCAAGGAAAATAAATCTGACCCCCCTCTACTTCTTTTCCCTACAGCCGCTTCTCCCTCTCCTTACTGTCAGATCCTGCTCTCCTTGAGTTCATGGAAGTGGGAAGCAAATTTCAAACAACTGACCTTGAAATAAACATAGCTGCAGCAATTTGCATATAGCACCCATAGATATAGGCCATCCAGAATTAATGCATTTTACCTTTTTTGAAGCTGCTGCAAGTTTTAGCACAGGTACTCCATAAACACTTTTAGGTAGCACTTT